TTAAAAAAAAAAAAAAGGGACAGACACATAGAATTTTAGAACACCTAAGATAAAGAGAACCTCTTTAAAAACTGCCCCCTCAGCAAAAGAAAGAAAAAAAAATGAGGTCACATACACAGGGTGTCAGAATGGAATGGTACTTCTAAAAAGCAAGACCAAAAAGTAGGATTCAATATAATAATGCTTTAGAACACTGAAATTTCTAATCTAGAGTTCTCTACCTTGCAAAATATCAATCCAGCCTTTGGATATAGTAAAGGCATTTTCAGTCATAAAAGGTCACAAAACCATTACTTCCCATGCAACATTTCTCAGGACTTACTGAGGATGTGTTACACCAAAAGGAAGGGATTAGCCACACAAAGGAACGCTTGAGATTTCTAAGACAGGGGTCAGATAAAGGAGGTAAGCAAAAGGAATACTCAGGCAAACAGTGAAGAGAAGCACCAGACTGACAGCTGTGTCAGATCTGGGCAGCATAAATAAGGAGGATGAGGGTTCAAAAAAAAAATGTTTCCAAGGAAAAAACTAAATGAATGGAACACCTAATGTGTCTAGCATATGACAAGTTTTAAAGTACTACCAGACTATTTCAAGCTGAATTAATGATGGGAGTATAAAAAATATACATAAGCAAACAAAAAAATGAAGCAATGGTTAACTTCAGGAAAAACATAAATGAAAAGAAAATGTAGTCAGAATATACTACTTGGCTCACCTGTAAATACCATTTTACAGAGTCACAATAATTCAAACACAGAAACAAAATAGTGCTTAAACAAAATAGTCATATAGTTAATATTGTGGGACAAATAGGTGCTCCTATAATATATGTTGGGGAGTGGGGGTGGCAGAGCTAAGATCTTAAGCTAAATCATCTCCCATGATGGGAAGTCAATATATAACATTTAAAATAAAAAAGCCAACACATAAGTCTAGATGAGAAGAGGGTGGCCAAAGCTGAAAAGAGTTGGAAGGTGCACCCTAGAGAGCAAGAGGTATGGGAAATAGGTCAGAATTATTTTTTTTCATTTTAAGTATATTTTTAAAAATTATGCATATGTATAACTTTGCTAAAAAATAAAATTTAATTTAAAAAGAAATGTGACTATGAAAAAAGCAATTAGAGACAGTCCAGACCACTCTTCAAGGCATGCTTCAGTCCACAGTAAACACTCCCACTGCCACCCCATCACACACAAAGAACGTCCTGACAGCTTTCTAGGACCCATCTCTTAAATAAGAACGAGAACCCAAGGATCATTAGACACTTGAGAAAACTAACATGAAATTCAGATTTATAAACAAAAAGAACCAAAAATGGGGAGACAGTGGGGAACCAGAGACTATGCTATAGAAATACAAGGAGAAGAAAACAAAAAACTTCTAGTAATATCCTCAGCAAGATAATAGAAGATACTGTATGCATGAATCAAGAACAGAATACTATTTTTAAAAAAGGCATAAAAAGAGGAAGGAGGGGGAGAGGAGAGGGAAAGAGAGGGGAACAAGGCAAGTCCAGAAAACAAAATTAAATTTAAAAATATATAGGGGGCGCCTGGGTGGCTCAGTTGGTTAAGCAACTGCCTTCGGCTCAGGTCATGATCCCGGAGCGCTGGGATCGAGTCCCACATCAGGCTCTCTGCTCAGCAAAGGAGCCTGCTTCTGCCTCTGACCCTCCCCCCTCTCATGTATTCTCTCTCTCTCTCAAATAAATGAATCTTTTAAATAAATAAATAAATAAATAAATAAATAAATAAATAAATAAATAAATAGGATCCCACCAGTTAAAAAAAAAAAATGTAATAGAAGAGGGGCACCTGGGTGGCTCAGTCATTAAGCATCTGCCTTCCGCTCGGGTCATGATCCCAGGGTCCTGGGATGGAGCCCCACATCGGGCTCTCTACTCAGCGGGAAGCCTGCTTCTCCCTCTCCCACTCCCCCTGCTTGTGTTCCCTCTCTCGCTGTGTCTCTATCAAATAAATAAATAAAAATCTTTAAAAAAATGTAATAGAAGAGTTGGAAGATACAGTTGAGAATATCACCCAGAAAAATAGAAGAAAAAGATGAGAATAGGGGGTGGGGTGCATATTAGAAAATGAGGGGATAAATTCATGAAGTCTAACATCCATCTAAGGAGTTTAGAAAGGAACAGGAACAGAAATAGAAATGAAAAAACAACTCAAGAAAACTTACCAAAATTACAAAGCAGGAGTTTCATTGTAAGGACTCACCAAACACACTGAAGGAAAACAGACCCAGACCAAGGAAAAATTTCAGAACACAAAGGACAAAGAGAAGACCCTAAAAGCTTCCTGAGGGTGGGGACATGTTATCAAGATTCAGGAAGACATGGGACTGCAACAGCAATACCACAAGTTACAACACAACAGAGCACTGTCTCCAGATTTTTTAGAGACAATACTCCCAACCTAGAATTCGATGCTCAGCCACACACTCACCAAATCATGAGGGCAGAATAAAGCTATCTTTTGACATGCAAGGTCTTAGGAAATTAATCTCTCACATACCCTTTCTCAGGAAGCTACTAGAAGACAAGCTCCAACAGGAGGGGTAAACCAAGAAGGAAAACGATGTGAGGGCCACACAAGGGCTCCTACCCAAGAGAGAAGCCAAGGAGTCTGTGGGGTGGTGGCCAAGGGCCCGCCCAACATGGAACCAGGCAGGCAGCAGGCACCAAGAGCAGCAACCAGGCCAGATGGAAGTAGGTCAGAGGCCCTGGGAGGGATGTCTTAAGATGTCGACAGTGATAATGAACCTGATGTATTGGTTGTATTGTGAGAGAAAAAGGAGTCATGGCAAACAATACAGGACAGCTTTGAGCAACATTTTCCAGGCACCACATTGTAGATGCTAATTGTAATCTAACCAACTCCGTGCTGACTATATTGTGGAAGGTATGGGGAGGGGCCGTGTGTCTGGGTTAGGAGAGGGGTAAAAAGAATTAAAGCCAGATAGATAAGGCTAAAAACTGGGGGAGAAAATTAAGAAGTGTCAATACTATGAATTACAAATAGTAATTGTTTTATTGTTATTTACAAGTAACAATCTCCATGTTACTTGGAGAAACAGAAATCAGCACCAAAGGAAAAACCAGAGGAGCTGGAAGTGGACCCCTAAGGAACAGGCAGTTGGTCTGTGTGTGGCGGGGGAGCTGCTGTATCTTTGTAATAAGCCACACAGAACTGTATGATTCCATGTGTACATATGGCTTCAGTAAAAACAAGAACCAAATGTTTATGTTTTACAGAAATTCAGGAGTGCTCATCATTCTAGTATGTAAAACCATCCACTGAAAAACAAGGATTTTGTAATCGGGAGTCCCGGACTCGGCAAACATCCTTCCTTCTGCCTGGTGCCTAAACCAGAAATATTAGCAGAGAAGAAAGAAATAACTGATCTTAGCCACTGGTAGGATTCAGTGTCTCTAAGGAAACCAAAATAATCCACGAAATCAGGTAAACACAGGCACCATCCATACTACATTTCTATCTAAAAACCACATTTGTATACCCACAGAAATAATTGACACCTCTTTCACAAACAATGAAAGGGAAGGGCCGGAGGGAGAAAAGCACATTCAGTCTGATAAAGTACATCTCACAACTTAGCTGGTAGCTCAGTGCCACAGGAATAAACCAGAAGGCATGTTTCCCTACCCCCGCCACCTTCTGTTACTCAAATTTCTACCAGTGATCACTGCAGCTAGGACTCCAGCTTGTAGATATTCAGCAATCTCTGGAAATTGACAAGGAACATGAGGATGGAGAGGCAGCTCTGCACTGAGATGTTGCACTGAGAATAACTGAGGATGACAGATCAAGAACTAAGTCTCCTGGCTCTTCCACTCAAAGATTACATCTCCCAGCCTCTTGCAGAGAGTCGACGGCGACGAATTGCAAGGAGTTGATTAATTACCACTTACGATGCCATAAACAAAAATAAAGTCACTGATCATTTATCCCGAGTTCCCATTTCTTCATCTATAAGATTGAGACAAAAATTATGCTCCTACCACTTAGAATTATTTTGAACGTTAAACGAGAAAATAACATATTCTAAGATCAGTGACCGGAGGCATAATAAGCTCTCAATACATTTCGGTTATCCTAATCGCCAGAGCCTCTTTAAAATTGAGTGACCCGGGGTGGAGAGTGTGAGGTGTCTGGCCACCGTTAGGAAGAAGGAAGGAACCGCTCGTTACTCCAGGCTGTATCCTGCCTGAGGCATTTAATTCGGCCCTGAGCACCAGCGACCATCCTCCGGGCCTCTGATGCTGAGACCCCAACTCTGCAACCGTCTAGCCAGGAGACAAGGTGTAGGGCCGCGGCGGAAACAAGGCACGCGCCGCCCGTGAGCCATTTTCCAGCGGCTGCTCCGGCCCTGCATCTCGGCAGCCTTTTGATGAGATGCACACTTTGGCTGAGCGGAGGGGCAAGAAAGCCAGAGGACCTAGCACTTACATCCCACCAACCAGGAGTTACGCAACAGCCTGCGTAAACAAATTCAAAATATTCTTTAGACACAATGCAGCGAGGTCAGGGAGTTAACACAGAAAACAGCGGCCCCGTTCATAAGACTGAAAGCTTGGCTCCGTGATTCTTAACCTCTCGGGGTAGGTCCTCTTTGAGAATCCGATGAAAGCTGGGCTCCTCTACGGAAAAAAAAAATGGGCGCTTAGATATAAATAGATGGGATTGTGGAGCTCACTCCGGCAACCAAGGCCCCCGAGTGAAGAGACGGAGTTCAGCGGCACTTCAACTCTATTCACAACCAGAGCCACCCTAGTACGGAAATAAAGGGTGGGAGGGCAAAGGCGGGGCTGACACCACCCTTACTTTGTCAAGGGAGGTGGATTCTTCATCTACCAGGGGGAAAAAAGAAAAAGGGAAGGGCTTGCCCTGAGCGCAGCGAGACCCTGAGCTGGGCAGCTCGGCCGCCAGGAGCAGGCCCCTCGCAGCCCCCTCCCGGCCCGGTACCTGGCAGAGCCGCAGCGGCCGCCTCCTCCACGCTCTCCGCGTCCCGGGCCTCCTCGGCCTCCGCCGCCTCGGCGCCCCGCTCCTCCGCCGGCCCGCGCGCCCGCCGTTCCGGCCCCTCCGGCGCCGCGGGCTCCGCGGGCGGCGAGGCGGGGGCGCACTGGGGCGCGGGGCCCCCGGCGCCGGACGACGCCGATGACGCCGAGTCGTCCGAGGCTCCGGCCGGGCCCCAGTCGTCCCAGAGCCAGGGCGCGTGCGCCTGCTCCAGCAGCCGGCGGCCCAGGCGGTAGTGCAGCAGCTCGCGGTAGCACGGCCCGTACTCGTCCCAGCGCGGCTCCCGGTAGCGCTTCATGTACTCGCTCTTCACCCCGCTCCCCGGGGACATGGTGCCTCCCGCCAGGCTGAGTGCGCGCCGCTCCGAGCCGCCGCCGCCTACGGACCGGGGGGACACGACACAGAGGCCCGCCCCGCCCCTCCCGCCGGCCCGGCCCGCCGCGACGTTTAAACCCGGAGCCCCGCCCGCACGGGGCGGGGCGCGGGCGGGGGCGGGGGCGGCGGTGAGGGGGCGGAGGGAGCCGGCGGCCGGCCCCCGGGAAGGGGCGGGTCCCGGGAGGACCCGCCAGGTAGCGTCGCGTCTGGTGACCCTGTCCTGAGAGCCCGGGCAGGGTACGGGGCGGGAGGTTCCCGGAGGCGGGCGGAGCGGCCAGCTTCGCGGGGGACGGGCGCCCCCTCGGGGGACGGCTCGGGAGGTGGGACGCCAGAGGCTGTGGGCTAGGGTGACAGGGCCGCGGGAGGCCGGGGACAGGCGGGCGCAGGAGCGAGGCAAAGCAGGAGCGGGGCTAGGGGTCCTCGGGGCCCCCTCCAAGCTTACCTCCTGGGTGCCGCCCCGCGCTGGCCCTGCGTCTCCCGCCCCGCGGCGCCCGGCCGGTCCTCCGCGCGCTGGGCGCTGCAGCTCCGAGCGGCCCGCCCTCCCCCGCGCTTTCCTCCCGAGCAAGATGTCGCCGACGGCGCGGCGGCCCGCGTCCCTGCGGCAGCGGGCAGGCGATGGCGCCGCCTCAGTCCCCGGGAGCAGACACCTCCCCCGCGCGCTCCCGGTCCCGGCCCCCGCCCCGCCGCGTGGGGGCGGCTGCTTCAGTGCTGAGCGCCGGGCGCGGGGATGCGGCGCCTCCGCCAGCCCCGGGCTCCGAGGCCCACGGCCCCGGCCCACCCGTCCGAGACGCCCGCCCGCCCAAGCCCCCAGTAGGCGCCGTCCCAGGCGCCTGCCACCGCAGGAGGCCTCGGTTAGGGTCTGGTGTTGGTGCCGGGTCCGGGGAACGGTGCCCTCCGCCCCCCCATCCTTTCCCGGCCGGCGACCCGCGGCGCTCCCCTCCTGACGCACCTGCCCTGCTCGCGTTTCCCAGAGACGAGTGCACGCGTTGGCTCTTGGCTTCCCTCCTGTGTTCACAGCACCTGTTACTCTGGTTTTAACCTCTTTAACCTCTTTTTACGCTTTAGTACAATTCCTTTCTGGTCGGTACCCCAAACATTTTTTTAAACTTAATTAAAACCGCTAACCCACCCTCTCAGAGACCTTTGTACAAAAAACCTTGACAGATTTCAGTTGTGTTGTGCGAAAGTATACAACGTTGCTCTAGTCGCTACAGTTTCCAGAGTGGCCCCAGGCAGATTCTTAACCTCTATTGAAAGGAGCCTTGATACGTTCTTTACAAAAAGATCTGAAAGAAGCTTTGGAAAATCAAAAATAATTAGCAGTTGAAAAGCAGGCCTAGGCCCGGAGTGAGTTACCCAGTTCTGGCTTCCATACCGGGATTCCCATCCCCCACCCCCACCCCTTCACCTACAGTGTTTTTCTCACCTACTACTTTGCTTCTCCCTTTGTGGGGCAGAAGCCCCAGCCCCTCGTAGCTGAATGATCCAGAGGTAGATACTGCTCAAGTGGGACAGGTCAGACTATCCTGAGAACTTGAAGTTAGCAGTCCAGGAGTCATTACCCCTGGGCTGTTAATGGCACTTTTCTGGACGGTCACTCCATGACCCCCACTGTTGACGTCCCCACAGTGGCCCTGAGTTTTCCCCTCCCCAACTTTACCTTTTATTCCTTGAAACTTCCTAATGCATTTCACTTTTGTTTAAGCTGTCCAGGGTTGGTTTCAGATGGTTGCAACCAAGAGAATTTTAACAAGTAACATTAATAACCTGGGGGGGAATGACCACATGCAGTTATATGAAACATGCAGAATACAATCTGTTTCAGTTGGTCTTGGCTGCACAATTAACCACCCCAAAAATTAGTGGTTTAAAACAATTAAGATTTATTATTTCTCATAACTCTGTGGGGTCAACCAGGCAGTTCGTCTGCGGGTTTCACGTGGCTGGGTTAGACTCATTCATACAGTTGCTTTCAGCTGGAGGGAGAGCTATCCTGTAAGGCTCCAGAGGGCCTGGTCATGGACCTGGCTGTGTACTGGCCCTAGTTTGGTCTCCTCACTGTGGCCTCATCCTCCAGGAGGCTAGACTGGCTTTTTCACCTGGTCCTCTCTTCTGAGAGGCTAATGACAGAAGCTGGAGGGCCTGGGAAGTTCATAAGCGTCTCTTCGGCTGCATACTAAGATTCAAACCACAAGGCCAGCCCAGATTCAGAGAGAGAGAGAAATAAACTCCACCCCCGCACGAGAAAAGCAGCAGCAAACTTACCTGGCAAAGGGGCATGAGTTCTGCACGGAGAAATGTGTGATCATGCCTTATAATCACACCTCTACACACAAAGTGTATAAGGTAAGATAACATTTTTTGTATAACAAAAAATAGAATTAAGAACAATTTATTTGTTTTACTTTCACCTGTTCTGCACAATTAAGGGTATTACTTTCTAATTTTTTTAAGTTATTATTCATCAGGGCTCATCCGCTTGGAAGTGACAAAAACCAATTCAACCAGCTTAAACAGAAAGGATATTTAGGGGTGCCTGGGTGGCTCAGTAGGTTAACCATCTGCCTTCAGCTCGGGTCATGATCCTGGGGTCCTGGGATCAAGAGCCTTGCATCGCAGGGCTCCCTTGGGGATCCTGCTTTTCCCTCTGCCTCTGCCACTCCCCCTGCTTGTGCTCCCTCCCCCCCCATCAAATAAATAAATAAATCTTTAGGAAGAAAGGAAGGGAGGGAGGGAGGGAGGAAGGAGGGATATTTAGTGACTCTAGCAAAGCTAAACCCAGGGACCTGGTCAATGTCATTGGGATTCTGTTTCTTTCCGTCTTCGAGCTCTGCTTTCCTCCTGGGGCTGGCTTCTTTGTCTCCCACCGTAAATGGACTTCCTCCACATAGCTGAGGAAATACCCTTGTAGCCCCAAGCTTGTGATGTCTTAGCACTGGATCACCAGCAAGAGAGAACTTCTCGGTATTCCAGTTATAGAGAAAGATTCTTTAGTCACATGCTTAGCTGTTGCTGGGTGTGGGAAGGGATATGACTGTCCAAGCCTGGGTTACAATGCCCATCACTATGGAAGGCGATAGGGTGGCAGGCTGAGAGTGACAGCCCCAGGAAAAGCACATGGAATAAGGAGGGAGCGGCTCCTCAGAAGGAAAAGTAGTAGGCAGACAAAACTGCGTGTGCCCATGTGTATGTTTGTCTTTGTGTCTAAGAACAGGAGAAGAGCGTTCTAATTTCACAGCACTTGTTGGGGGCGGGGGAACTGGGAGGTAGATGATCACAAGTAAGGTACAGCTGTTACGAAATTGAATACAGGGCACCTGGGTGGCTCAGTCAGTTGAGCGGCTGCCTTCAGCTCAGGTCATGATCCCAGGGTCCTGGGATGGAGCCCCGCATCGGGCTCCCTGCTCAGCGGGGAGCCTGCTTCTCCCTCTCCCTCTGCCCCTGCCCCCCCCCCACTTGTGATCTCTCTCTCTCTCTCTCTCTCTCTGTCAAATAAATAAATAAAATCTTTTTAAAAAAAAGAAATTGAATAGAATCATAAGCAGTATCTATCAAATTGTATTTCTCTATCAGGGTGGTAAACATTCCCTCTAAAGAACCCTCTGTTCATATAGTACTGAAAGCAGCCAGTGTGGATGAGAGAGCCCCTTTGTTCTGCAGGCAGAATTGGGGCCACTGAGCAGAGATAACACGCCACAACTGTGGAAAACGTTGTGGACTTGGATCTGATTTCTAAAGCAAGAGGGAAATTTTAGGGATGGCCTGAGAAGCTCACAGAAGAAATAGGGAGGGTGGAAAATGAGCAGGCATCGAGGAGACCCCCGAGGCCTGGCTGCAGGGTCCTGGACAGACAGGAGAGGGAAGATCTGGCCCCTCGACTTTGGGAGAGGCAGCCCTAGCCCCTGGGGAGAACCTCTCCCCCCCCCGCCCCGCCCCCGGGGGACTGGGGAGCCAATAGAAAGGAATGCTGCACTCCCGAAGATTATAGGAAAATAGTGTATATTTGCTACATAGGCATAGAGATCCCATCTAAGACCTGCTAGGATAAGTCTGGCCAGCCGTGGAATAGCAGCCTCACAAAAGGGGAGCATTTCAAGCTGTTCTCCACCTTTAGTGGCGCACCCCTAATTCTTTGAGCTCCCCACTTCTCAGAGCCCTTCCACCCAAAGCCTCTGGTGCTATCACCCCCAGGGTGCTACCCCGTCCTGTGCCAATAACCTTGTCCTGAGCTGGGGAGGCTGTCTTGCAAGTGTTTCCTCCACCTCACTCTTCCTTTCTTCTGAGATGTTCTTTCCATGTCATATGCTCTCCTCTCAACTCTCCCTCCCCTCTACCCCCTCTCCAAATACATACATACTCAGAAGTCCCCTGTCCACTCTGCCCTCTTTATAACCCCACCTCCCAGTGGAGAAGCTACAAATGCTCCATATTTTCCCTAGTCTCTCTTGCAGCCAGAGTGCTGTTGTGAGGCCCTAAAACTCTGATCATCAGTTACTGCTGCCCCCAGGCTCGGCATCAGGGTTTACTGTTGCATGGAAGCAAGGACCAGGAGACTCTGGCTGAAATGCCAAGTTCAAGCCTGAATTCCTGGAGCAGCGGTGACCACGGTGCTTAGAGAAATGCTGGCATCCAGAGCTCAAGGGAAGCCAGCCGCATATCTAACACTCCTGGGCAGTGGCGGTCTCCGTTACTGTTCTTCCTCTCAGAGCTCTAAGCCTGTTTTTTGTTTTGTTTTATTTTGTTTTTCAAGATTTTGGAAGCCACCCAGGCAAGTTTTAAATAGGTGTCTTTTCTTCTAAAATTAGCAGAGTTGATTTCTCTGATGAATAATTAAGCACTTTGTTGAATACACTGGAAGGTCCTGAGTCTTCCTCCTCTCTGCAGGGGTCCCCAGGTTCCTTGGCAGCTTCCCATTCCTCCTTCTCCTTGTTTAAACTAAGGATTCCCCATTCGCCCCTCGCCTCTTTCCTCCTGCTGTCTCTGCACA